ACCTCAAGTCTTTCTTCTTCTGGAGTTTCATGTGGTGCAGAGGATTCTGCAGGTTTGTCCCTAGAGCCTGATGATGGTTCCGATGGTCCGGAAGGCTCAGGAACATCTCCAGATGATTCTGGTGGATCAGGTTTCTTGGCAGATGATTCTGCCGGATCAGATGAAAGAGGCTTCTTTTTCCCTGAAATCCTCTTCGGTGGTGGATCAGCTGCTCCCTCAGGTGCTCTGTCACAACCCTTGAGGTACGTGTGAGCCTTTTTCTGTCCGGCACAGGCTGGACAGCGACCTTCCGGTATCCTAACATAAGGCTTATTGGCTCCTAGAGCAATCTCCGTCGCACGGAACGATGTACCTGACTTAGGAAGGTACTTCCTGGTGGAAGTAAAGCCTAGTAGGTCCAATACCAAATGGTTATTGGTACTAATCGGAAGAGGGGTTTTATACAAACCGAAAGCTTCACACGTTGCTAGGTCAGCTGTTGGACTACACTCGAGGGTCATTCTTAGATTTCTCATCTGTTCAATGGAGAACAAAATGGGGACTCTTCCCTGATCCAAAACTTCTATGGTTGTATCTCTTCTTGGAGTTGTGTTAAACCATAGAGTTACACGCTCCTTGATAAGAGCTGTTTCACTATCTTCGAAAGAGAACTTCGTGTTCGAAGGTGAAAAAGTGAAATCAATCATGCCTGGGGCATGTTGCTTCACGGCCTTGATAAGCCTGTTCACCGCATAGCGGGAACCCATAGCCCTAGTACAACCAGAGTCAAGAATGACAAAGGTAGGGCTCTTATCAAGATTGATCCGCTCGGTGAGAGCAGATAAGACGGTGTGCTGCAACGGAAACACTGCTGTTGCAGTCTCCACACCTTGCCCCTCAGATGGTTCAAAAACCTGGGGCGCGTAACTCACTGATGAGTTGTACACGGGTTCTTGGTGCGCGCTCGGATCTGTGCCTCTACCTGATGATCCTGCTTTATTTCTTCTCTTCTTTTTCCGTGTCTTTCTTCGTGAGGCTTGTGATGCATAGTATGTATAAGACGTTTGATCGTCATAAGCGGCATAATTCCAACTGGAGTCAGTATAATAACTGTCCTCGTACCATGAATCCCAGCTCGGTGCGGTGGAACTTTCATAGGCCTGTGGAGATCCATTTTGGTCTCCTTGTAAGGAGGCAGACTTAGCTGTATCCTTACCTTTGCCTTTTGATTTTGTACCCTTGAAGGAGCTTCCTTTATCTCCTTTGTCCTTTCCTTTTCCTTTGCCTTTTCCACCTTTTCCTTTTTCCTTTCCTTTACCTTTACCGAAATAGCTGGAATCAGTTGGATCATGTTCTGCCTGGTAGGCTCTCCCTTTTCCGCGGTATGACCTAAAACGGCCACGTCCTTTTCGCTTGCCACCCTTTGCTCTTCCCGGTGATCCGGGACGCATTCTTGGTCTTCTTCCCTTTTGAATCTCCTTGCAACGAAGGCCTCATGGTCATCAACTGTCCAGAAGACAGCTTCTTCATCCTCGGCGGCAAGAAAGCCTTCCTCAAGGGTGTCTTCGTCTTGGAGCCAAAATCCATCGACTCCGTCGTATTCACCCTGATCGAGGATGAGGAAGTTTCGACCTCCGCGTTTGCGGCGTTGATCTCTTCTTCCATGGCGGTCCTTCTTGTGAGAAGTGTGCCGAATATTGGGATCCTGCAGACCAGTTCTGGTCGTTGAGAACTGATCGAACATGGTCTGCCGTACTATAGGGTACGTGTAGGTCTCAATTCGGTAACCTTGGTTGGTCAACGCTGTTACCAACCTCTCACGTTGCATCTCATTTAGGTCGGACTGCACTAGGAAGAGGAGAGCTAGGAGATTATCATTTAGAGGAAACGCTCTTCGCTGATTATCAAGGCGTTCCTTGTTCCATGTTTCGAAGAAACGTGCGGCGTATGTGTCTCTCTCGGTTGCATCCTGTAGGCGCATGAAGGTTTGATCTGCTTGCACAGCCTGCATGAAATCCGGATGGGCATCTTCCAGAATTATCTCTGGTAAGAGATCCATCCATGAGTTTCTCCCGCGCTGTAGCACGATCTCAAACTTAGCAATCCAAGTCACAAAGTCTTGGTTGCCCTTCCATGCCTTGAATAGGCCGAGGAAACGCCACAGGAAAACGTACTGTTCTCCTTTCACGAAAAATGGACGCATCTTCTTCTTGAAGTAATCTACTCCATCTGGGGCTGCAAGCCTTTCTCGGTTGAGTGATTCCTTTTGTACTGCGGCCAATCCGGAGAGCCTCGTCTTGAGAGACGGACCTCTTTTGGTATCATCCAGCGTTGTTATATCGCACCAGTCGTCAATCAACTGTTCATACTCAAACCACGAGGTGGTGCCATCATAGGCAGGCGCGATCTTGGGCGTTATGCCTAATGATGCAAGCATGCGGTCAGATGTTGCATATGACTGTGCGACATAAGTAGCTGGACCTTGGGAGGTCGCTTCGTTCTCATATCCCCCGGAGGATTGGGAACTGCCGTCGGCTTCGCTATGCGAGCTCGACATTGTGCTGCCTCTTATCCGCTTGGTTAAGCGTTCGGCGAGGCCGACCGCTGTACCGGACTTTGGGAGGCGGGCGGCCCTTTCCGGGCTCCGCTACCAGAAAACTGAGCCGATACACCCACAAGGAAATGCTCCTTGTTAGGAGGTGTATGACCATTTTATTCCCTAAGGATCAAAGGGCAGCGCCCTGCACACGGACAGTAGTTGTTTTGTCTTGCTACGCAAGGAGAGCTTGTCTTGTCTCAATATGGTAAAACCACTGTGAGCCAATGGGCAGCGGAATGTATATGTATGAGCATGCAGCCATTGCTGTAGGTACCTGTTAGAGCTACCCCTTTAGAGGTTTATGGTTTCACCCCCCCCTCCCCCCCCCCCACCCCACGTGTACCCGTTCTCTATCAACAACTTTGACAGGCCGCCCTAGCATTAAAAAACATCGACTGCCCCCTCGCCCTGCCGCTACACAGCCGAGGCGGGCGGCGTAGCGTTAAAATTAGTTGGAATGAAGTCGGCATACTGAAACGAGATCACTTGGTCGACGAAGCATGCCGAGGAAGATTTGCTTTCCAGGAACAAGACTGGCTCTAAACCATGATGTCTGGTCATCTGCAATGCAGCCAAGCAACTGCGCTGGCGGTCCCGTAGCTCGAGTAAGCATGCCGTCTCGTTGGCCTTTCGCCGAGCAGGCGATCTCGATCGAGATCTCAATCCGAGCGCCAAAGTTTCATTCGCCCGTGGTGGTGGCGGTGCCGACGCCTTGGCCGAGAGTGCCAGCGCAGGCACAGGAGCCCGTGGTGGTTCAGTGGTCGCGACGGTGCTCGTGGCAAAAGGGGTGGCCTCTGCTCTTAGTCTGTTTTCCCCTGCATCCAGCACCAAATGCAGAGTGTCGTCGGGGTCCAGCCGGGCCTTCGAGCCATCACGTACCGTGTACAACGAGGTCAAGCCATTCATCTTGGTCCGCTCTCGGACCTTCTCCAGGAGCCGTCGCACCGGCTCGTCGCCACCAATGGGCACCCTGATGGTTTGCTTGCTGCGCCCATCTTCGTGGCACTCAATGTCCAGCTTGAAGACTTGCTCTGCCATGCTTCTCTACATATGCCTCAACTATCGATCTGACTATGCAGAACACATTCAAGGATGGTAGTGTCTCGATTCGCAACCACAAGTACGATCTCGTCCAAAACCTACATGCCCCCCAAATCGTTAGGCAGCGGCCCCTCGGCACCCAGCCCCGTACGCTGTTCGTGCACGTAGCTGTCTCCAGACAATGTAGAGACAGGAAATATGCAACGGTGGTGCTGACAAATCCTAGCTGTCCTGGTCCTAGCTTGTTGCATCAGCGCTAGCTTTGTCCATATGGGACTTGAGATTCAGTGGCTGAATGTGGCTAGTCTGTCGAGCCTTGTGAAGCCAGACTCAGAACCCACAGTTGGGACTTGGAGTGCCGGAGGTGCCTCTTCTCCGTACTCCTCCGCCTCTGTATCCTCTGTCGTGCTGCGAACAGAGGACTGGCCTTCGCGGGAGACAACGTTCCGTGGTGAGTTGGGCGAAGAACTCTTCGGGTTGCGTGCAATGCAGTGCAAGTACTGTGGCCTTGCACATGGTTCGATGTCGACGGCTGTTGGTCAGGTCCCGGAGGAGCCGGTTGCGACGCCGCCGTCGCCGTCGCCGCCGCCCGCACCATCGCCGCGTCCGTTGCGGCCTCCCCGCAGCAGTACTCGGACCACTTGCGCTTGGCCTCAAGGAGTTCAAACTATGAAAAATACTGCAAAAGACCAGGCCCCAGCCTCTGTGCAGGGTGGCTTCGAGGCATTGCCTGCGTCAGCTACGAGCATGCAGACAGTACACTTCGACTGCCATTCGAGAGCAGATGGATCTTATCACATGGAGGATGAACGTCTTCATGTCTGCGTTTTGGTCGGGCGGAGATCCCAATGTGCGGCATTCCGGGACTTGCTGAGGCCTCTCAGGAGCAGCTGCGCCTCCTGGCATGCCATCGGCTCGCCTCCTCCGGGTGGGCATCGCAGGGCACATGGCCATGCCTACTGGCGAGCCTCCTATTTTACCGTTGACTGTAGCTCTTCAGCTCATATCCTTCGCCCTGCATGTGAGCATATCGAGCTGCCAGCACTCGTGCAACTCCAAGAAGCGACCCGGATGAAACCAACCTCAAGGTATAATTCACGAAGCCGCAGATTCCAGGATTCTGCCTACAGGGCAGCAGAAGCCAGCCCTTTCCGCAACAGCCATGGTCCTTCGATGTGCTCCGCCGCTGCATCGGGGATCAAGGACTGTCCCTCTGAGCACAAGTAGCACTTGCAGCCTCAGAATCCGAAATTGGCCCATCGAATCCAAATGAGGCCAAACTCGCTACGTTACTTGTGACTCAGTCTATGCCAAAATTTGTCGCACCAATTGCTCCAAGTACAAACCGATTGCTCAAAGCCTGAAGGCTTCAGTGAATCCAGAAGATGGAGTGTTCACGAGAGCTGGCATCTGGGCATCCACTAGGTTCTCGCGTTCTCTGCCGAGGAGCACTTGCCCTGCAGCTTGCCCTGTGCATCCTCGCAGGATGTCCTCACAAAATCGTATCTTTCGAGGGCTTGGTGCAGAAACTGCACTTCCTGGTCTGAACTTTCGAGTTTGCCAGGCAGGCAAAAACTGTCTCAACTGTCTGCCGCGCTGGATGCATCTGAGACTCTTGACAGAACCATCATGGAGCCGACTGTATGCATCTTCGCCTGCAGAGGTTGGACCGACGAAGACCATGTGCTGTGAAGCAGCTGCTACTAGAAGCAACGACCGGAATGATGAATGCAGTCTCCGCTACCTAGGTGCTTTTCGACAGCTAGCCGTTCTGCTTGGTCGATGACATAGAGGACTTATATGTTCGTCCCAGACGCACGTGAGCATCTCGCCATCGCTGGTGTATGCAATGGACTCGGCATCGAAGGTCTCCCCCGCGCCACCTGTAGCAATTACTCAGTCAGCTGACTTGCAGAGGCCCAAGCTGTGGCTGAGATGCGCGCAGATGCTGCAGTTCTGAAGCCCCACGGCCGCATGGTCATCGACCCTCTCCCTGCAGCCTTCGCTGTGGCGACTTCGACGCGACTGATTAAGCGCACACAGACACAGACACACACAGACAGAGACACAAGCTATCGCAAAGCGTGTTTCAAGGCATTGCGGGGAAGAATATCCTTTCTGACAATCATCTCAAAGAGTCTCGAAGGCATCCAGAAGTCCGCTTCATCTTACTCTTTGGTACAGCTTCAGTCGAATATTTTCTTACTCCAGCAGGTCTAGACCCCGTCTCACATCCTACACGCTGTGTAACCGACCAGGCTGCATCTTGCGACAAGGGAAGAGTCTCGCGCCACTTCGCAGGAGATTGGCCTGAGGCAGGCACTAAACTCACTAAACCATCGTTGGTATGGACTGGCCTCAAGACGCCGGAACAAACCAAACTTGGCAATGCAGCAGAGTAGCGCACGACCGCTCCGGAGGTTGTCCTCAGGTGCCCAAGACATGCAAAGGATCATCCACCCCACCACACCCTCGTCCCGACATCACCGCAGCAAAGATCGGGTCTGTCCTGCGCCTCGCTGCAAGTCATCGGGCTGCCTTCGATGACCATGGCCACGGCTGTGCCTGTGCCGGACTTACAGGACCTCTTAGGATCTCGCAGTCGTCAAGCTGACCCCTGGCCCTAACCTATCAAACTGACCTGAGCATAGTCATCTCAGCAGTCAAGACGCTGTTCAAGTCTCCGAATCCTGCGCACAATTCGCAGCTCCAGTTGTCTGTCCGGTCCGACGGTCCAGATTTGCCGTCGCTATCGCTGCCTCGAATGGGCCAAAGAGTCGTCTAGTCTGCAAAACGACCCGATCGGGCCCATGAGGACTGCAACTGCCAAACTTCTCTGCCGTCAAGGACGTTCACAACTCTCCGGGGCCTGCAGCGGGTTTCCGAATATGCCGATCACGAGCAAACCCCTATCCTATCGTCGTTCTTGGCACTGCCGCATGGATACTTGCTGTAGGAGGCAGCAAGACTAGATGCCTAACCGTACTGCGAAGACTATGTGTCAGGATCTGTGAAGCCACACCAAACACCTCCGACTGCGATCGGAGGCACGTGCACAGCAGTCGGCATACTCTTCTGCTGCCTCTTGGCATGTCAGTCTCGATCCACCTTTGGAGATTCGCTTCAGCATACTGACACTAGGGTCACTAGACACTTCGTGCAAAGCAGCTCTGAAGGGCTGACGAGCGACCCGCACGAATCTGATCCAGCGCAAATTGGCAGGAAAAGGGCTTACCATCCTGGCTCAGCATTGAAGTCTCGGCATTCTCAAACTGCTGGATTGTTCTGGACAGTGTCGGCTAAGCTTCTGCCTACCTTGTGTCTTGAAAATCGGGACACGGCCACAGTCGCCTGCAGGCGTCATATGAGCTCCCAATGTATGGCTGGGCCTCCATGAAGGCAGTCGCATCTGGCAAAAATTCGGCGCCGCCAGAGCAGATGTTGCAAATTGCCTGTTCCACAAAAGCTTCCAGATGCAGTATGAACGTGAATGATTTGTAAAGCCGTCTTGCAGCCTTGTTATAGGGATCCTAATACTCCTGGCATTTGAGCCATTAACAATATTGGTTCGCGCTGTGCTTGATCAATGCTTCCCAGGCCGCGTCGGAGTGCACAGCCGTTGAGATCACATGTCCCATGTGCAGCCATGCGTCTTCCAACGGGCTGCGAGGAGAACCAGCATCCTCCTTCTGGCTTACCACAACATCGCAACTCACACGGTTTGCACACGATGTCCCGCCACATGGCTTCCAGTTGGGGTTCCCTCCTACTGTCCAAGACCAAATTCTCCACCCAAAGGTAGTATTGCACAAATGCCAAACAAACACAGGTACGAAAATCAACAGCCACCGCAACAGGATGTTGCACACGTTACGACATGCTTCTGCCTTGCCAGGGACGTGCTGCAAACTTAAGATGGGGCATGTACCTGCCATAAAATGCGGTCCGGCCTGGCACAGCGGACTCCCTTTGCGGCCTCAGCTAACAACTGGCGGACTTCACCTTGCTTGATGCGTTGTCTACGCGTGATAACATGCCGAGACTGTGTGTCAGCTTTCGATTCCGCTTGGCCTGCTCATGGGGTGACATCCCATGGGTCTGTGTGCCTCGGAATACCTTGCAAGATGTGAAGCTTTCAATCAGGATCCCTCTATCTTCCTTTGACCACGGCCTGTAAGAAGGATGCAGACCCTGCCTTATCCTGTTGCAGTCAAGGGGCAGATTTGCTTGGAGTCGACTCCACAGTTTTGGGCCTCTGGGTCCTGCAGTGCCGCTTCTCAGATGAGGTTCAACTGCAAATGCGACAGAAATATACCTTCTGTCATTCTGCATCCAAAGGTCCGAGAGAGACACCCCAGCAGCTTGCAGTGAGCACGGCCTTGGCACCGATGCAATGCGGGTACGAGTGGTACCCAGTACCCATCATCAACTTCATCCCATGAACACCAGCTCTCGCCTTCCCTCACAAGTCAGAGCCCGCCTCCGGTTGCCATCGTCCAAGGTCTCATAGAAGGCCGCGCTCGCACCTTGAGACGTTCGGCATAAGGCTATATGATGCAATGAAATGGCGCTTGGCAATCAACCTCACCAAAAGGCTTCGGATATGCAGCCAGGCAGCACTCCTCCTGACATGCGTATCAGAGGGCTCGTGCCAGTCAACACAGCTCTTGTACGAATGCAAAATGCCCCTGTTTGAAATCCCGGTCGTTCGACAGGTCGGAGCATTTCTTGGAAATCGAGGTGATCTCGGTGGAAGCCGCAGATTCCAGCTTGGTACTCTGGCTCTGCTGGCATTGCCCAACTTGATCTGCCAAGGGGCATCGACGGCATGGCACAGACTCTTGCACACGCTATCATCGTCCTCGGCCTCCTTTCAGAGTTGCCGTGAGAGAGAACATGAGAAGCTCTTGCAGTACACTGCTCAGACTCTTTCCTGCACGAAGACGTCACCAAGACTTCCCACGGAAGCTCTTCGAGGCGATCGAGGCGCCTCTGCGTCTGGCGAATAATTGAAACGGAAAGCAAACAATGGGAGCTGCGCAGACCATCGCCGACCGAACCAGCCAAACATAACGGCAACATTCAACAATACAGGGCATTGCTACGCAAAGTGATCCCTCAGAAAGGAAAACGAGTTGAAACCGCAGAAGACAGTGTCTGAAATCATCCCACTGATTTCTGTTGCCTCTCCCGCGTCGCTTCAGATCCTGGAAAGCCCTTCTGCAAAGCAACACTTGAGCCTGAGCCCCATAACTTATACTGCCGTGGCGCCGGTGAGATCCGGCTTCCATGCGGCCAGTGCCGGTCTGGGCCGCAACCCAGAGCTGGTTATGAAGCGTATTTGAGGTCCGTGTTTGGATGGGCAAGGGCTTGTTGACCGCCAGTTGCCTCCTGCAGCTGTTTTCGATTTTGGGGGCTCCAGAACTTGCACCAACGCGAAGGAGATCTGCCAATGCGTGCGCTTCGAGCAGCACAGTTTCGCAAAGGCGCGCTGCGGCTTTGTGTTTTGGAGGAGTGGAGGACTGAGGCGCCTGTTGAAATGTCTGAGTTCCGGATAGTTCCGGGGCTCCGGCTGTGGCTCAGCTCGGCCTCGCCAGGCTCCGGTGCCATGCCTCGCGCACTGCCAGCTGCCACTCACACACTTGGGCTTGGAGCGGATAGCCCGAGAGTTCATTCGGTACCCCATCGGTAGCCCGGCAGCAATAGGCCTAGGGTCTCACAGCGCTCTGCTTCCGAGCAGCTGTGCTGAAGTGGCTCACGCCGCATTTGCGGTCGGTGATGTGCCTGGAGGCATCACAGAGTCAATGGTCTTCCCAGGTCTCCACCTGAAGCCCCAAAGGTCCCTAACCAGCCTCCCGTGCATCTCCTGAAGCTTCAGGCAAGGGCACGGCCACTAGGGCGAGGCACCTTACTACGCCGGCAACTGTTGGGCGCATCTCTCTTGGGCAGCCGTGATGATAACACGAAAGAAGATCTTGCTCAAGCCCTGCCATCTGGTGATCTGGGTCAGCAACCAGACCGCAAACGGCGGCATGGTGGCACCGTTCCTGACAGGAGACCGGGAGTAACGTGAATTATGGTTGCGTCCGGCGTGGCTCTGCACTTTGCTGAAGTCAAGTTTTGACTAATTGCAGAGGCGGTCCCTCTACTCTGCAAACTCGCACGGGCCTGCCTCATAACATATGGACGGCTTTCACAAGCAGAGGTGCGGGTTGGGTCCCATGGCTGCACGCAGACATTGTGCAATGTACTTGCGTGCTCGAGCCATGCAGAAGCAAACAAAAGAACGGGGTGGCCGCTGGAGTGTAAAGGCAGTCTCTATGACTCTAAGAGCAATCTCGCACGCACTCAGCTACCGACATCGACGGCTGTGAAGGACGTGTGGTTCAGAAGGACCCGAAGAACCTGCTCCGAGCTGCGAGTACGGGGGTGATGGAACAGTACAGACTGCGATCATGGCGGTCATGTATGTCATCGGCCCTATTCGCCTCTGCGTGACCGTACTCGGCAGCCAGATGCAACCTTGCAATGCTGTGACCCTACGAAGCAATAAAGCTCGTAAGGCCCTGGTGAAAACTCAGCGAGTGGCGCTGTGCGGCCATGCAGCGCACGCCTGGAGGTTCCGAGAGTCTCAACATCTTGAAAGGCTTCTCTACTGCACTGGCAGTAAGACAACCAGCCTCCACATCAAAATCTCTCATCGCTACTTCCCAACACGCGTCAGGGCAAGTTCTGAAAGCACTCTATGTCGACATACATCAACCACGTGCAACCCTGCTTCTGCACAGGCAGCATGAAGGGGAAAAAGGGCGAAGCTTGGTGGCTTCATTTCACGGATTTTCACGGTTTGTGTTTTCGCATGGAAGCATGCTTCGGAAAGCAGACTTGAAAGGCATGCGTACGTGCACGCGCCCTCGTTGGTCGCGGGCATGAGAACTTGTGTCACATGGGGCCGCAGAGACATTCCCCTACCGGACTGCAAAAGAGACAACCTGGAGCAACACCTGAATGGAGGCGGAGGAGGAGGAGGTTATTCACAACAAAATGAGAGCATGACACAAGGGATTCAAAACTTTCTCCATCGTGCATGCTACAAGCGCGCATTTAGGGCTAGCGAAGAGTGATTCAATTTCAGAACAAGTCCACGACGCTGCTTGAGGGTTTGATGTAACTTTGTGGACCTGCACTGCCGTGTAGCTCGGTCCCGCATCTTCAACCTGATATGGCTCGAAGCGCGCCTGTCTGCATCGTGAAAACAAGGAGCCTCAGTCATCATGCCACCGTCGACATCGCCATCGCTCGAGCACACCAGGAAGTCAAAGTCAAAGGCAGCTGAGGCGTGTGCATCGAGCAACTGCTGGCATGCTTCGACGCAACCAGCCTCACAAGAGATCATGCTGCCTTCTCCAAACATGACAAGAGTCTCGGCTTCAAGCTCAAAGGTTTAGATCATGGACGTGACTCCGGCCCCTGCGTAAGCAACCGGCAAGTGCAGAATGGTGGAGGGCAGTCCGCATGTGCAGATCCCTGGCTCAGCATATCTCGCTTCCAGAATCAGAAGCTCGACACATCCGGATGGTGTGAACCGCTGAGATACCTCAACTCTTGTGAATCCACTGGCGGGTTCTGAGCAGGAATCCAATCACGACTGACGACTATGCCCACAATACCGAACTAGACAGCAACAGGACCAGGATCACAAGGAACTATGGAACACTTGCCTCAGCATACACTGTCATGCCGCTTGAAATGGCATTAAGGCTTCAATAATAGATTTGGCAACACTCTGTCCACCGGTGCCTTGCAGACGCAAGCTTTGCACCGCCTTTCTCGAGCCTGAATCGGGCTCTGCAGCCCAACGGGAAGACTAGAAGTGCAGCTAATCGTTTGTATATTTGTACATCTATGTATGCTTTTGTACATCTATACGTGTGTATTGACGGGTACATGCATGCATGCGTACGTACATACATGCATACATACATGTACACATACGTGTGCGTACATATACTGGTATGTACACATGTGAGTCACATGTGTATATATATAATATAATATAAGTACACACCCGTGCATACGTACATATGTACATATGTACGCAATAATATGTACAATGTGCATGCATGCGTATTAGACATATGCAAACATGCATGCACGCGCCCGTACATGCAGTGACCGATACATGCACCCATCCACCCACCCATCCATGCATGCTTGCTTGTCCCCATATACACCGAGCTCACACAGACACACACACACACACACACACACACACACACACCCGCGCGCACACTGATGGATTCGGCCAAGAGTACGAGTGCAAGAGGAAAAAGAGAGGCATGTTGTTCATGTTGCAAAAGCTTGTCAGATTGTGGCAACCGTACAACTTGTTTATTGTCGAATCAACCGCCAAAAGTGGCAACTGAAAACTCTCTAATCTTGGCACAGGGGCCTTCTAATCGGGCTGGCACAGGGGCCCCAGCTCACTTTTGTGCAGGTACAAGGTTTGGCGTCCCAAACCTCTTCCCATGGTGTTGCTAGCTTCGTTGGCCAGCGTCACAACACCATGCGCTGGCCCCCTGCAATATTTGAATCGTTAAATGTCAAATGTCTGATTGAGTTGCAAAGCAAAATTGCAAGCAGTGTAGGAGTGACCCTCTGCTCCCATGTACTAGGGAGGTTCACACACACACAGCCCCAATGGGGCGTGTATGCTTCAAGTAGAGTGAAATGTCTGATCCATGGCAAAAAGAGTGATTGGCGCACTTTTCTCGCTGTCACTAGCGGTCGGGTGATTGTCGTGTTTCCTGATCCGAACAGGTTCTAACAAAAAGCACCGGCTTCAACGTGGCTAATGTGGTGACTGAATCCCAATCATGTAGTCGGCGACGGTTTTGTTCGAAGAAGAAAGCTGGGATTTTAGGAGTTCTGCCGGTGATCTCCTTGATGCGGTAGGAGAAGATCTTGCGAGCTTGGAGAACGTTGTCACCCAGACAAAGCACCACGTGTAAGAAAATGTGCTTGTCTCTGGTGATGCGGTCGGGTGGAATTTCAACAGTCATCCGAAAACATTGTCCTGCCATGGAGTACCATGGAAGGCCGGCCTCAGCAGCCTTTCGCTTTGTCATGTTTTGCTGCTACCAACCGACAAACGCTTGAACAAGGAATGCAAAACAACATGGACATGCTGTGTGCTCAGGAGACACAACCAAGTAGTGTCTTGCTGACACTCGCATGCGAAGGCTTTTTTGTCACGCTTAGCGGAACTTGCAGCCCTGATCCGTCCTGAGAATTAGGTTCCAACATCGAGTTTGTTGGGACAGTCGCTCATGATCTTGAAATGGCATCTACATCTGAAACCTGCACGTACCAGCATTTTTGCACAAGCGGTTTTGGACCGCTTATGTTGAATGATAGGATGCACAACATCGTAAGGTGCAATCGAGTCAGAAGACCAAGGATCTCGCGATGGAGATCGGTGTGCGTCCTCAGCCACTTGTGACGTTGCCGTAGGTGACGCTGATGATGTTGAGTGCGAAGAGCGTGTCCTCTTTCGTCTTGTAGTGTGTGGATGTTGGCGTTGTTGCTGTGTTGTGGAATGGGATGCTGGTGAAATGTTGCGTGTTTTCTTTGTTTTCACGACTGTTCTGTCCTTTTTGTCTTTGTTGTCTTTCTTCTTTTTTGTCTTCGTTGTGTGCTTTGTTTTTTGCTTGTGTGTGTGACTGACTGCATGGGAGGATGTGGCGGTGTCATCCTTCCTCAGAAAAGCATCGATCTCTTCGGATCCCCATAGGCTGCTGTCGTCGTCTTCGTCCATATGTGTGCGATCCTAAATATGTTACAACAACTGTAGTTCTGAGAAATGGCTGCGGAGTCACAACTGCATTAAAGCGTGCGCATGCGCTGATCGTCAGAAAAGAGAGAGAGGGAAATACAAATATACGTCACTTGAGCAACCTCACCGGCTGGCATGATCTTTCAACATGGTGCTCTTAATGTTGGCCCTCATCAGGGATGATGGGGTTCACATCACAGCTTTGCTGTGTGGTTGTTGGCTGCCGGGGGCAGCAAGTGTGCATCTAATTGTCAACTCAGCGATGCTGCTCACGGAGTTCTTGATCGCTTTCTCTTGTTGGATGTAGGAGTTGAAGTAGTGGAAGCTGGCTCCTTTTGGGTAGGAGTCGTTGAAGTCGGGAGCTGATCAGGTTGCTCCGAATGCTTTCGTATCCACTCTGCAGATGCGATGAAGTACTCACGCCACCATGAAGAGCCGTTAGTGGCCCAGTGCCATCTCCATTGTGATGCCGTGGGAGATCGCGATCTGGTGCGGCGGTCCATGGTGCTAACACAACTGGTTGTTTTGCAAAATGCTGCGGGAAAGAGTGTATCAATCGCTGCATACAAGCAAATGTGAAGAGAGTGCACTGGCTGTCTCACTTGGTAAAACAACGATTGTTGTTTTCACCGTCTGCTGCAATCACCCAATGGTGGTATAAAACATGTTTGATCACCTATTGTTGCGAAGCTTCGAGTCTTTCCACTCGTTGCTTTAGCTCTGTAATCTGCCGGGTTGTTTGCAGAATAAACTCGGCTAATTGGTCGCGTAGAGCCTCGTCACTGAATGTGGAAGGTTCACTTCCGGTTTCGGACTCATAGTCCCGATGCTGTGTCAAAATCTCCATGAGGGCTGCGGAGAGAGCTTCACGTCGTGCCTCATCGACGGGTGGCGAATCTGTAGTCACTGTATTTGGCGGAAGAGGTGAGTCGCTCATGGCTCGATGTCGGGATTCGAATAGGCGTCACTGTGAGGCAAAACTTCAGAAGGCAGAATTATGGTATTGTCTGAAAGCAACATGTATTGAGCAGTGAGACTGATGCACTACCTGGCACTTTTTATACCGGCTTGCCTTAGTAGCATATTCACGACCAATCAGGCGCGTTTTGCCTGATGAGGCTTTCAAGTACGTCGAGCTGCTGTTTGCACGAGGAGAGGATCGCCGTGGTAGCCTCGTGCTGAGTAGTCAACACCGTTGT